TGGGATGGGGGTCTGGGATGGGGATTTGCATGGGGGTTTGGGATCTGGATCCAGGATGGGGGTCAGAGATGGGGGTCCAGGACTGAGGATCTGGGATGAGGGTCCAGGATGGGGATTTGGGATCTGGATCCAGGATGGGGGTCACGGATGGGGGTCTGGGATGAGGGTCTGGGATGGGGATTTGGGATGGGGGTCCAGGATCTGGATCCAGGATGGGGGTCAGGGATGGGGATTTGGGATGGGGTTCCAGGTTTGGGGATCAGGGATGGGGGTTCAGGATGGGAATCTGGGATCTGGAACCAGGATGGGGGTCTGGGATGCAGTTCTAGGATAGGGGTCTGGGATGGAAGTCTGGGATGGGGGTCCGGGATGGGAATCCAGGATCTGGATCCAGATGGGGGTCCAGGATGGGGGGCTGGGATGGGGGCTCGGGGATAGGAATCCAGGATGGGGGTCTGGGATGGGGGTCCAGGACTGGGGCTGGAGAGCGGAAGCATCTCAGGTCCCTCCTGTGTTGACTTTCAGAAGAGGAGCTGGCGGGAGGAGAGGAAGAGGAGATGCCGACCTTCAGCTACCGACCCAGCGGTGAGGACGTGGGTCACCGCCCCCCCGGGGGTGGGCAGGGGGGTCGGCGGGGCCTGACCCTTCCCTCTCTGCCCCCAGGCAGGGCACGGACCAACTGCAGCCAGTGTCAGAAGAACCTCTCCCTCCAGACGGCCGTCAAAGTCCTCTACGTCTTCTCCATCCTCCTCATCGTGGCCGTGACGGTGTTGGCAGCCTTGGGTGAGCGTGGGCAGGGTTGGGAGGTCCAGCTCCTGGAGGTCCTGCCATCTCGGGGCAGCTCCTCAGGGGTCCTGGGGTTCCCCCAAAGCCCCATCAGCGTCCAGGCATGAGGAGGAGCATCCAACTCCCCCCTGACCTGCCCCTGGGACACTGTGGGTGGTGCCACCTCGCCATGGCTTTACCCCCATGGGGACCTCAGGAACCACCCCACATCCCAGAGGTTGCCACCTCACCACCTCCACGGGCAAGGAACAGCCCCCCAGGCGTGCCCCCCCTCAGCTGGACTCCTGGAGATGCTTTGTAGACCTTGGCCAAGCCCTGAAACCAAAAGCCCCCTTGGGACACCCACCCCATGGAGCCACCACCCACCCAGCCGACACTTCAAGCCCTGGCTACCCTCCTCACCGGGCAATGAGCCCAGAAGAAAGGTGGGCTGGAGAGCGGAAGCATCTCAGGTCCCTCCTGTGTTGACTTTCAGAAGAGGAGCTGGCGGGAGGAGAGGAAGAGGAGATGCCGACCTTCAGCTACCGACCCAGCGGTGAGGACGTGGGTCACCGCCCCCCCGGGGGTGGGCAGGGGGGTCGGCGGGGCCTGACCCTTCCCTCTCTGCCCCCAGGCAGGGCACGGACCAACTGCAGCCAGTGTCAGAAGAACCTCTCCCTCCAGACGGCCGTCAAAGTCCTCTACGTCTTCTCCATCCTCCTCATCGTGGCCGTGACGGTGTTGGCAGCCTTGGGTGAGCGTGGGCAGGGTTGGGAGGTCCAGCTCCTGGAGGTCCTGCCATCTCGGGGCAGCTCCTCAGGGGTCCTGGGGTTCCCCCAAAGCCCCATCAGCGTCCAGGCATGAGGAGGAGCATCCAACTCCCCCCTGACCTGCCCCTGGGACACTGTGGGTGGTGCCACCTCGCCATGGCTTTACCCCCATGGGGACCTCAGGAACCACCCCACATCCCAGAGGTTGCCACCTCACCACCTCCACGGGCAAGGAACAGCCCCCCTCAGCTGGACTCCTGGAGATGCTTTGTAGACCTTGGCCAAGCCCTGAAACCAAAAGCCCCCTTGGGACACCCACCCCATGGAGCCACCACCCACCCAGCCGACACTTCAAGCCCTGGCTACCCTCCTCACCGGGCAATGAGCCCAGAAGAAAGGTGTGGAGGATGATGGCCCGTCCCCACCTCCCCTGACCCCCCCGCCTTCCCCCCACAGTGTTCAAGAAAGTTGACTCCATCTCCAACGACATCAGCTCAGCCCAGACCTACTATGAGAAGAAGATCATATCCATCCAGGAGGACCTCCAGGGGTTGGGTGAGTCCACCTGGACCTGGAGGTCTTCTCCAGGCTTTGGCACCACGTGTCCCTCCAGCTGAGTGGACCTCAGCTTTTCAGGGCTTGGGGGCTCCCTCAGAGCCAAACCCCCACTTATCTCCCAGGGTTTTGGGGAGCGATGGCTGCAGGACCCCAGGGTGGGGTTGGGCGCTTTGAGGAACTTGCTTCACAGAGGTGGCAGGATCAGGATGAAGGTGGGAGCTGGTGCAGGCTGGTGGCATCAGGGTTGTCCCAGCTGTGGTAGGATCAGGATGAAGGTGGGAGCTGGTATGGGCTGGTGGCATCAGGGTTGTCCCAGCTGTGGCTCCGTGGTGCCCATCTCCAGGGTCTTCAAGAACAAACTGTGTTGAGGCTCTTCCTCCACCCTGGTCCTCAGTGGGCGGGTCTCCAGGCCCAGTGAGTGCCGAGGTGGGATAACAGACCCCTCTGCCCTTCCTTCAGATGAGAAGACCTCAGGGAACTGCTCCCTCTGCCATGAGACGGGACAGCTGGGCCAGGAGCTCACCAGGCTGCAGGGCGAG